TACTCCGCTTTCCAGAGGAAGCGATTTAGAAGCTTGGCTGCTTCGGTTCAACTACAAAAAACTGGGTTATAGCGACGACAATTTGAGCGACGAAAAGGTTTTGTCGCTAAAAGTGTGGTTTCCGCGACGATATATTAATTTTCGTCGCTGATTGTGTCTATTTAATTACATAGGCCATTCGATGGATTTGGCGACGGAATTTAAGATTTAGCGACGAGTCTTTTGTCGCAGAAAGTGTGAAAGATTTCGCCACGACTTAACTTTGTCGCAGACTCAAGATGTATCAAAACGACGACGTCTTTCTGTTTATATGTACAGTTCGGGCCTGAGTTCGAAATTAATTTTTTTGGGTCAAAGCCTGCTCCAAACGGTGTCGTTTGGGCTTTTTTTGGGACAGTACTCGGCCACTTCAAAACTTCCAAGTCTTCATGGAGCTTTCACCCATATCAAACCATCGACGGATAAACCCTAGCACAGAAACCATAGACGATGGTGTGGAGGAAACTATGTGCGATGAATGTCCCGCCAAAAGTGAAGCATTTTTTGTGGAGATTTGCGCGGGATATCCTCCCAACGGGAGACCATATAAGCACCAAGAGTAAAAGAAGGGGTGACAGGTGCGGGTTCTGTGTCAGAAGGGAGACTCAAATTTATTTTTTTGCTGAGTGTGAATGGGCATCTCGTTGGTGGAGACAATCAGACGTGGCTGGCTGTTTTTCCCAGAGGGGAGATGCTGACTCCTACGATTGGGTGATGAAGGTGATGAAGAACGAAGAGGCATCTACCCTAGAGGTTTGGACTGTTCTTCTTTGGTTCCTCTGGAAGGAACGAAACACACAGATGTTTAATGGGAAAAAGCAAGAGGAACATGAGATTGTTACTCGAGCCAAATACTTCCTGGCGGAGTACCAGTAGCATTAACGCCAAGAGGAGGAGATGGATTCGAGGCAGGCCCTGCAAATTGGATGATAAAGCACCAGGGGGGGTGCTTTTGATCAAAGTAACGCAGCAAACACACTCTCGAACGATAGATGATGGATAGGTAGAATTCTCGCCACAATCGAAGTGATTAATCGATTGATAAGAGAACTTGCTAAACGATTCTGGAATCCACTCAGAATAGCTTCACAAGGGTCTTGTAATTAGCTAAGGAATCCACTCGTAGCTAATGACAATGGGTAAACTCTCGAGACGCAACTCAAGAACTCAAACACTCGGTTTGTATTCAATTCAATCAACTCTACTTTACAACGTGAATTGGAAAGGTATTTAAAGACAATAAACCCTAATACAACCCTACATGAACAAGGAAACTAATTAGAACAGGAAAAGGCACAATAATTCGTGTAAAACAAGGTAACTTGCAAGCCAAGAAACTGACTTAAAACGCAAGCAAGTCTGCCTAGGAAAACAGGCTTCATAGCATCTTTGAGCCCTTCGAAAATGGTCTTCTAGGTTGATTTGAATTCAACCAATTCCTTTCCTTTGTATAAGAAAACTTTCTATTTCACCTCCAACTTGAATCAGCCTGAGATCATGCTCCAAACTCCAGATATAGGCCTTCAAAGTTGGCATCTCAAAACTGTTTTCTGCCTTAGCCAGATTTTGGCAGTTTTCAGAATTCTTCATAGCATTTTTATACGTCTGGAAAGTGACCTTCTGGACTTCCTCTTGAGCCACCAAGCATACCAACTTATAGATAAAGTGTTTATCTTCAAAACAAGTCATCAAACACCAATTTTCATTGAGCCAATTAAGAGAACCATACCTCCAAAGTTGGTACCTTAAAACTGTCTCTATACTTAACCAAATTCTGCCTTTCTTCTTTCCAACCTTGATAGCTTCTTTGGCAAGTAATTTTGGATCAATGATTGACCCTATTAGGATCATATCAAGCTCCCCCTCTTCAAAAAGCTTTGCCCTCAAAGCTTGATTAGACCTCTTCTCAAAAGCATCACAGAATTGATCCCAAATTGGATCGAAAAAGGGCTGCTCAAATACACTTTGCGGCAAAAAAATTTGAACGTTAAATTCTTCTTCTGCTCGTAAATTGGCTTCTGTTCTCCACGATTTGAGTTTCAGTAGATTTGTAGGGCTCCAATGGACCTTCCCCACGCAAACAATTTGATCAAACGACCACAAAACACGAAATTCCAGATTTCCAGTTCCCGGCCACAATTTTGCAGATTCCGGCAAACTCGCAAACGCCGGCGAGGGCTCCACAATTGGGCATTTGTGCTCGACGCCTTCGAGATCGAATTCATTGCAACCATAAGGCTCACCTCGCTCCCAGGAATCTATTCGAGCAATTCCCATGTCTTGATTCTGCCCGATTCGTTCCCAATCGACATCCACACATTTCCCACCGTCGGGAAATTTAAAATTTCCAGAATCCGGCAGAAAAAACCCAGATTCCGGCGAGACGAACCGCGACCCCAAAGTTGAATTGGGCGTTTTTGATTCCGGGTTTTCAAAGGCGAATTGATCATCCCGACTCCTTCTTTGGACCTCTATAGACTTGTCCAAATCCATCTTTTCCATCGATTCACCTCCAAAAGCTCCAATCGATTCATTCCTTTCCTCACCAAATTTTCGGCCAAAAAATTTCGAATTGGGCGTTTTGAGTACAGGGATCGCTGGATGCAATTGAAGCTTCACACAGCTTCATACCACTTCCTTTGATGATTCTGAACGGTCAATGGGTGTCGAATCAGCCTCCAACGCCGCAACCCATTCATTGACTTTTTCTTCTTCCTTGTGCGCGACCAGAGGCTTTGGAGCTCGATCTTGATTCTGCAAAATTGAAGTAATCGTTTCCAATTGGTCGAGTTGAGAGCTTCTTAAGGCACAATGGAGTGTTTCGGTCTCCTTGGAGTGGTTTGGAGTGCTCTGCAGAACTCCACCCGATACTCCCTCTCCCTTGCTCTGTTTTGACGGAGAACGGGGACGTTCTGCTGCTCGCTTCGCCAGGACGACGTGCTCGTCGTCAGGCTGCTCTAGCTCCTTTTCTCGATCAGTAGCTCTTCCTTCCACCTCCACGAACGCCTCGGATCCCTTTTTGCGCTCTTTAATTCCTTCTTCGTCGCCGGACGAGTTGCAGGGATCGACACTCTGTTTTGACAGGGCGAAACAGGGGTCGTTGCAGGTGACGTGAGTTCTTGATGGATTGCTTCTCAACTGCAACGGCGTCGTCAACAAGGCCGTATGATACTCTTCCTGGAGTCTCCTTACCTCTTTCAGATCGTTGGCAGCTTGTTCCTGCGACAAAGGACTCAAAACAAACGTTTTGTTTTGTTTCCGAAGTCTGAATTTTCTGCTTCTTCTGCTAACGAATTGGACCTGTCGATTTCGAAACCAAGGCTGCCCCAACACGATGTGGCTGGGCAGATTATAAGCCACGTCGCAAATAACTTTGTCTTCGTATTGTCCGATCGAAAATTCCACAGCTACTTGGGAGAATACGAAATTGGAGTGTCCATCGTAAGGCGATTGAAAGGTATAGGACTTCGATAGTGGCTGTGTTTGCAGCCCTAGCTGTCTCACAGTCCTAGAGGAAATCAAATTCCTCTCCCTGCCTCCATCAACAAGAACTGAACACGTTTTCTCTTTGATTAAACAACGCGTAAAAATCATCGAACGTGCTAGCTCCTCGGTATGCATAGTACTCTGTTTCGTTCTGAATTTTTGTACGAAACTCAGCCTTCAATCCTTCTTGCCACTGACTTGAACCTAAGGCTCTGATGCCACTTGATAAAGCACCAGGGGGGGGTGCTTTTGATCAAAGTAACGCAGCAAACACACTCTCGAACGATAGATGATGGATAGGTAGAATTCTCGCCACAATCGAGGTGATTAATCGATTGATAAGAGAACTTGCTAAACGATTCTGGAATCCACTCAGAATAGCTTCACAAGGGTCTTGTAATTAGCTAAGGAATCCACTCGTAGCTAATGACAATGGGTAAACTCTCGAGACGCAACTCAAGAACTCAAACACTCGGTTTGTATTCAATTCAATCAACTCTGCTTTACAACGTGAATTGGAAAGGTATTTAAAGACAATAAACCCTAATACAACCCTACATGAACAAGGAAACTAATTAGAACAGGAAAAGGCACAATAATTCGTGTAAAACAAGGTAACTTGCAAGCCAAGAAACTGACTTAAAACGCAAGCAAGTCTGCCTAGGAAAACAGGCTTCATAGCATCTTTGAGCCCTTCGAAAATGGTCTTCTAGGTTGATTTGAATTCAACCAATTCCTTTCCTTTGTAGAAGAAAACTTTCTATTTCACCTCCAACTTGAATCAGCCTGAGATCATGCTCCAAACTCCAGATATAGGCCTTCAAAGTTGGCATCTCAAAACTGTTTTCTGCCTTAGCCAGATTTTGGCAGTTTTCATAATTCTTCATAGCATTTTTATACGTCTGGAAAGTGACCTTCTGGACTTCCTCTTGTGCCACCAAGCATACCAACTTATAGATAAAGTGTTTATCTTCAAAACAAGTCATTAAACACCAATTTTCATTGAGCCAATTAAGAGAACCATACCTCCAAAGTTGGTACCTTGAAACTGTCTCTATACTTAACCAAATTCTGCCTTTCTTCTTTCCAACCTTGATAGCTTCTTTGGCAAGTAATTTTGGATCAATGATTGACCCTATTAGGATCATATCATTGGAAGCGACCAACAAATGGAAGGGTTAAAATTAATATTGATGCATGCTTATTGGAAGGAGGAGGCGTAGGCTTGGGAGTAGTTGCACGAGGAGATGATGGTAGATTCTTGTTTGCTGCGGCCAAGTGGCTGACGGATGTTGCTGATGCCGCAATGGCCAAGGCCCTGGCAGCAGAGATGGGAATTCAACTCGTTCTCCAATTATAGGTTGCAAACCCCATATTAGAATCCGATTGCCTGAATATGATCCAGAAGTTGCATGAACCGGGACTTGATCAGACGGAGATCGATATGGACAGTTTGTCGCAACATCAGACGCATAATGAAAATGACTGGGAATGGAAGCTGGCAGCATTGCCCTCGCTCAGGAAATGTAGCCGCACATATGTTGGCTCACTCGAAGATGAGATGGAACGAAAGAGAAGTTTGGATTGATAGACCCCCTGTTTTTATTATTGATCAGCTGCAGCTGGATTGTGTAACCGCTTCATCTGATTAATAAACCTCTAAAGGTCCCCATAAAATATATATGCATATATCATGGAAAGCTTCTCACTAGCCAAAATTTCAAACACCATATAAAACCAAGAACGATTGCTTCATCAAAAACACCTTTATTCTCCCATAAGCTAATGAACGGGTCGATCATTATTAGCCGCTTTATTTTATAATAAGAAAGGAAAGAAGGAAAAAGCATAACCAGAATTACAACGAGGCAAAAGTGGCAGATTTGATCATGAGTAGCAGATGCATGCGCATACACCCAAGTCACAGCAGTTCGTGCGGATCATGGCCGTCACACAGATTTGGGAAACCCTCTGGCAGGTCTCGTCGTCGCACTCGTAAGTGCAGTGATCATCCCGCACCGTAGATGAATTACCATTACTGATGTCGCTGGATGCGGGTCGAGGTATCATCACCACGCCGCCGTCTGGTGGAGCAAATCGTCGAAAACTACCCAAAAAAAAATATATATATATTTCTTGACTAAAAGGATATTGGTCGCTAAATGTTTGGACTTGGTCACAATATATGGAACTTTTCGTGAAGAAAACTAGTATTGGTCACGAGACGTCAACTATGGTGAGTGGTCCGCTGAAATTTCCAACGCCCCCATCGCTAAGAACAAATTAGGTTTTGTTCTAGAAACTGTTTCGAGACCTGAGTCCGGCGAATTGCTGAGCGCCTGGACACGCTGTAATGCGATGGTCGTTGGTTGGCTGCATAGTGCCATGAGTCGTGAGATCCGTAGCAGTCTGAGCACATGTTTCACCGCCAAAGAGAACTGGGATGAACTGAAAGAAAGGTTCAGCACCGGGAATCTTCATCGACGGTACAAGTTGCGACGTGAAATCACCGGCCTTCGCCAAGACAAGTTGAGCGTTGCCTGGTTTTATGCCAAGATGAAAAGGCTATGGGATAATTGGTTTACCCTCGATCCACCGGCAAAGTGCACCTGCGGAAAGTTCGAGTGTGACGTTGAGTGTCGTACTCGGGCTTCTCATGAGGATATGCGGTTATTGGATTTTCTCCTAGGGCTGGATGATAGTTTTTCTGTTGTGCGCACTCAGCTTCTTTCCATGAAACCTACACCTAGTCTTGGTGAGGCTTGTATCATGGTTGCAAATGATGAACAACACCGCCTCCTTTCCGATTCCCGTCCTCGTATCGAAGCTGTCGCTTTTCAAGGTAAGGGGGAGCAAGGTCGACGTGAAGAATCTCTCATGGAAGGTCGTGAGCGCACCGCAGATGGACATCCCTTTTGTGCCATTGTCAAAAACCAGGACATTTTAAGGCTACCTGCTATGAACTCAATGGATGGCCCTCACGTCAACAAGGACAAGGTGAAAGGCCTCGTCGTCGCAACAACAAGCCGGGACGTGGAGAACCCCATGCAGCTACTGTTGAGAGTGAAGCTAGCTCGGTTCCTAGCCTCACTCTGCTGTATCTTCATCATCATCATCATCATCGCCATGACTATTCAAATTACGTACCAATAAGCTGTTTTTCTTTTTCTCTTCAATCTGATGAGTTCGTTTTCTTTTGGTTGTGTGTGCATGTTGATGAGCCTTAGCTTGCTGGTATGGTCTGTATATATGGTGGATCGATTTAGGAAGAGGAAATTAGGTATCTCCATTGCTTTTTTCCTAGTCTTGTTTTCATGGGTTCAATTGCCGTCATTGCACATAACTTTGCTAGCTAGGTTTGGGTAATCGAAGGATTCTCCTGATGGTTAAATTTATCCTTTTACCAGCTGATCGGTTTTTAGGTTGAAGATATTCATTCTCCTGCTTTATGCTCTGCAAACTGTAAGCTTATGCTTGCAGAGTGCGGAGGGGACGATGATGCATTTTGTTTTGTTTGTTTTCAATTTGGTTGAAGGGTAGGGTATGCAATGGTTCGGTTCACATGGAATCAAATTAGACCGGAAGCTATTCATTATAATCTCTTCATGATCGCACTACATGTTTCGACATATGTTCGCTATATATGGGAGTTGAAAGCGAGAATTATCATTTATACGCGATATCTTCGAAAATCTTGTTGCAGATTTGGTAGCCTCAGGTGTCGACGTGGCATCATTAGTGGCTTGCCATGGACACACATCAGGATGATGCGATCCCTTTTAAGATCTTCAACTAATTTTCGGATTATCATTTCATCAGAGTAGAAATATCGGATTAATAATGAAGATCACAAGATGGAACCACTTATTATTATTATATTATTATTATTTATTTATTTAGGAAGAAAAGAAATAAAAGAAAACCCCATATAAAAGAGTCCCAACTCATCACTAGGAAGGAAAACTAGCTGGAATATTAAAGAAAGAGAGAAAACAAACCGAAATCATAGTAAGACAAGCAATGAAAACATAAAGAACGGTCGGCCCGCCGAAAATTATTAAGGTGTTGATCAACGTGAGAAAACAACAGGATCGTCCATCCATCTGAAAGATCAGCACCACAAATTTATTTGGATTTCCCTTCTGTTAAATATATAAAAATATATTTATTATTCACTGCAGTAGCAATAACAATAAAGGGTGGAACAGTCGCAAGTCCCCCTGCAAACGTTACGATCTTGTCCCCTACAGAACCAATCGTAATATCTGTCACATGCAGCGTCGTTGCAAGAAGGAGTGCAATAATCCTGTACCGAAGCCGTACTGTTCTTGAATGTTGACTGCGGTATCACACCTGTTCCACTTTTAGGCACGAGATGGGAGGCCAAAATGTGGTGGCTACTGCATTATTGACGATATCGCATCAGAAAAGTAGCGTAAAAAAAAATGCCGTGCGAAAAATAGTAATTAAACACCCAAAAAAATTTATCATCTTAATAGATACAGACTATGCCGCGTCATCGATGGACCAGACTGTACCTGACGTTCGTCGGAGCATACTCCGCCGGACCGATGATTCTCGATGCGCTTGAAGGCAAAATGCCTGCATCCAAACATTCAATAGTACTGTGAATACATATATTAATATTATTGCAGGCAGGAGAATAGATAAAGCTAGAAGTGAACGTACATATTACGAGCAGAAGCAAGACGGCTGCCGCCGGCTTAGCAATACTGGTGGACTGCATCATCTTGATCATCGCCATGGCTATCGAAATTACGTACAGTTATAATTATAAGCTGTTTTGAGTAATTCGATTGAAGTATCTTGTTATTTATGTATTCAAGTTGATGAGTCTTCCTGCTATAAATTGTCGATCTATATATAGTGTAAGTGCGTAACGAAATAGCTAGGAAGAGTGACTTCGATATCTTCATTGCTTCCCCTCTCTCTCATGGGTGTTTTTATGCTCTGTAAAGCGGAGGGGACAACAATGCATTTTGTTTTGTGTTGTTTGTTTTTGCTTTTGGTTGAAGAGTTTTTCCAAGTTTTATGCCTTCAATTACGAGGAATATTGCTTCCCACATATAGATCACGTTGAAGTCATTGTAGCAATTTTAAACTAAAAATTCGTTTTGATAAATGATGATTTATTAATAATGTGAAAAAAATAATCAAGGGTATATGGTGAGCGCCAATGTGGTGCTCCTATCTAGCTATAGGTCTCATCCGTACCGTGAGGCTGAACCATATTAAAATTTGCGTATCAATTTACTTTGGTCTTGCATACCATTTCCCATTGCAAACAGAATTGTGTGTAGTCGCCTTGAATATATATTTATATGCATATTTTCTTTGCCGTACAAATGTTTGGTGGATGAGCACTTCTACTATGCTATATAGCATTGGTGCTTTAATGTACAACTTGAAGTTGAACCATAACATTAAATGTATAAGTTTAGGTTATACCATAAAGGAATTTGTATCATTATGTTATGGTACAATTTTACAACTTGAAGTTGTACCATCACAGAAAGTACAAGTTTAAGTCTTACCATAAAAGAATTTGTACAAAAAGTATAGGTACAATCTGAAGTTGTACCATAACGTTAAAGGTACAATTTCAAGTTGTACCATAAAGGCAAAAACCTATAGCACCAATACTATATAGCATTGTAAAATTCCTCTTGGTGGATATGATGCACCCGTCTCATAATTTTCTTTTTGAGTGACTCGTTTATGTCAAAATAATCTCAACCCTTAATTATAATACAATGAACAAGAAGACGAATGAAAATTTACTTGTATTTTAACTTTTAAGAGTTTCGAAATCAGTAGGCGTGTGCAATGGTTCGGTCCGATCCGGATCGAACCAAACCCATGAGAGTTGTTGTCAATTAGTGAAAGATATCTTAGGATCAAGGAATAGAACTATCATTGCATTCGATCCATTTGGTCCCGTTTGGTCCAATCCAAATATTAGTTAAGTCTATCATTCCTTTGTAATTGTAAAATTCATGTGGACCAAGTGTTGGACAAGATTATACTCGGTTCGATTCGCTCCTATCCAAACTTTTATTTGCTCCACCTAATTTATATATATATACCAGATAAATTGCTCACAATTTACAAATAAAAATGATAAATTTTAATATTCATAATTTAGTTTGTATGTGTAAGGATTTGGTAACAATATATATTAAAAATTGGTTCCAATGTATATGCTTGGTGTATAATGCCAAAGTCACCCAGTGCCCGAGTGAGGAATTCGAACGATAGGGGCTGATTTAGATTGTTGTAATTGGAAAAGGAGGGCTAAAGCTTTACCAATTATTTGCAAAAAAAAAGCTTTACCAACTATTATGACTCCTAAATTTGTGTAAAAGTTACATGTTACCGATAATAATTTTGTAACTATTATTTTAGTTAAAACATTAAAATTTTGGAATATTGACTGCCATGTGTCTCTTCCAAGTCAGTGTAATATTGCCAAGTCAATATTACTAACAAAACTACTAACAGGAAGTTGACATTTAGCTAATTAGCCAAATGTTAACTTTTAGTTAGCAATTTTGTTAGTGATATTGACTTGGGAACATGATACTGACTTGGAAGAGACACATGAATGTCAACAATCCAAAATTTTAGTATT